CCCCTTAGACTTCATATGCATTTACAAAAAACAGGGAGATTATCTCACGGTACAATTATAAAATCCAAAAAACTTAACATTGATATAATCCCAATTTTGGCAATATACTAAAAAATGTCCTTTATGGCACTTTATTCCCCTACATAGGATCCAGTCCAGGATCTTATAGTACATTTGTTGTCACATCTCTTTAATCTCCTTCATTCTGGAACAATTTCTCAGCCTTGGTCTTTCATAGAGCTGACATTTTTGAACAATACAGGCCAGTTTGTTTTTGTTTTTAAATAGAATGTTCCACAATTTGAGTTGGTCTAAGATTCCTTGTGATTAGTTTCAGGTTTTCCATCCCTGCCTGGAATTCAACATAAGTGATGCTATGTTCTTCTCGGGGTATCACATCAGCAAGCACATGATATCCATCTACCCCTTGCCAGTGATCAAATTTTGATCTCTGGTCGTGAAGTGGATTCTCCCCTGTGTGGATACATTTCCCCTTGCAACAATAAGCAATCAGTGAAGAGACACTCTGAGACCATGCAAATTGCTTGCTCCTCAAACTTTCTCCTCCAGATGTCAGCATCCATTACTTCTTGCCTTAACTAATCTTTACCATCATGGTTGCAACTCACTCTTTATTTGTTTCCCAAAACAGTGGAGTCCTTTCTTCTTCACTGATAGATGTATCTATCTGTCAGTGTAGACTCGTAGATTCCTATTTTATTCCATAATTATAATCCACTACTGTTCTCAATTTTGAAGCTCTTGTGGTCTCAGATTATGGTCATTCTTTGTAGCCATGGAGGGCAGAACTAGTATTTATAAGGAGATACTACCAAGGGCTGGGGGGCAGAGTTTGACCTAGTGAAAGAAAATCTTTGGAAGGATTCCAACTCTCTATCATTAGAACTAGCTGACGGGGGGGGGGGGGGGGCGCGGGTAGGAATAAGCTGCCCGTCACAGGAAGTATTTAACAGTCTGTTGACTGTTCTTCATAAAAGAAATTCATGCATCAGGTTGGGGCTTTAGAGGTCCCTTCCAAACCTTGAGACCTGCAACAAGAATCCTGGAAAGGAGGAGAGTGTGACATCCAGTTTAGAGGCATGTTCAGAAAAATAGAAACTGCAGAGAAGGGCACACATCCAGGCCACCTGTGGGAAACAATCCAACCAGGCCTGCAGAAGCAGGAGCTGCAGTGAATCAAAGTCTAATCCCTGATCCTCTCGGGTTTTCTTGAACATCATTGCTCGCCAGCCACCATGTTAAATGCTCTATATGAGCCAGAAAGAAGGACAACTCAGACCCAGGCCCAATACAGAAGCCAGTGGAATGATAGAGGAGGGTCCCTCCAGCTCTGTGTGGGGAGCTAGGAAAGATATGGACTTTTCCAGATGAATGGGGGCTCACCAGCCAAAGAACAACCGCAATACTAAAATTCTGTCCAGCACATGATGGACTCCAATTCTGGGAAAATTTTAGATAGACCGATAGAAACACACATACATATATATGTGTATGTTAAATACATGTACACATATAAATGTACCTTTTTACATTTTATTTTAAAGGACACACATGTGGGAAAAAGCATGGGCTTCAGAGTAAAGCATACAATTGGTCAGTAGTTCGACAGCCCGGTCAGAAACGTTGCTCCCTCTCCCTCACCAAGAGATCTGTATTCACAAGATTCGCTAAGATTAAATGCTCTGAACCGGCTGACAAACAATCTAGAGAAGAAGTCACACAGGGACTCCTGCATGTCACTACCTTTTCAGCTCCTCATTTTCTGGGTCTCTGTTCTCCACAATCAGAGCAGAGGGTGTGAGCCCAGCACAGTCAAGGGCAGAGATAGAGGTGCTAACACCTGGCTTGACTTGTAGAGTCCCCAGCAGGAGCAAGCTTCTCTTGGAGGGCTGAAGGAAGGCAAGTTGGGAGCCTCAGGGGCAGTCAGGCACTGGTACTAACTTGAGGCCCTGCTATCAGTCCAGTAGCTCAGGCCCAGAGAGGCTACTGTCTAGGGAGGTTCATGTCCTCCAAACAGATTCAGGGAAGCATCCTACTGAGCAAGGATAAAAACTGTACTAGCTTATATTCTGTAGCACTGTGCTTAGTAAATTCATGATATACATGCTACCATTCATCTACTCTGAGCCCATGACAGAATGAATTTATCATGATACACTGTAACGTGGATACCAAGGCCTTGTCACCTTCGTACTCGTATCTTTCTAGGAAGTAGCTACCGAGTGTTATCCGAGAACACTTTACTTCCCAAACATAGGTCATGTTTGCTACCTACCTTGCATTTCCTAAGACTGCCACAAAATTCAGAGCGTGCCCATTTTAAAGACAGGGAAACAGAGGCAGCAGAGGAAAGGGACTCTGAGGTCCCACGGTTGGGAGCAATGAAGCTGGGATGAGAGCAAGGCCTCTCGGTTCCATCCTTTCCCACTTGCTCTCTTGCTCCCAGTGCGGAGAGCTGAGAAGGTCCTGGTAGAACTACTACACAGCCCCAAGATTCAGCCATAGTGGCACCTCATGTGACCCAACTGATGGAGAGGTCAAAACTCAGCTCAAGTGCAAGTGCTCTCTTCTGTGAAGACCTCAGCAAGAAGATGCTACTCCTTCTTCCAAGGTTCCAGGCCTTGCGCAATTGTCTCTTTATTCCTAGCTTGGAGCACAATGCTGGCACACAGTCAGCGCTCAGCAAATGCTTACTGAACTGAAGTGAATGGAGCCAGATCCTTGCACTGGGTTTCGTGTCTCTGGATCGACAGGGGGCATAATAGAGCAGGGCAAAGAACAGAGGTTTTAGAAGCAAACTAACCCAAACTAAAATCCCCTCCAGACTAGTTGTGTGATATTGAGCTACTGAGGACACACTGAGCCTCAGTTTCTGCAGGTGTAAAATGGGGCGAATATCCCCTACTTCATAAGGATGTTGAGGAAATGGAGAGAAACTCGTAAGATTGGCAGCAGTGACAAAGAGCAGGAGGAAGAGAAATCGGTTCCAGTCCAAGATGACTACATAGGCGGAAGGAAGGGGCAGAGGGTGGAGTAGGCAAAATGGGGGAAGGGGAGTGGGAGACATGGGCTTCTAGTTACAGAATGAATCAGTCACAAGCATAGGGAATTTAGTCAATGGTACTGTAAGAGTGTTGCATGGTGACAGATGGAGGCTACCTTTATGGTGAGCATAGCATAATGTATAGAGTTGTTGAGTCACTATGTTGTACACCCGAAACTAATGTAACATTGGGTGTCAACCATACTCAGAAAAGTTTGAGAAAAAAAGTGGGAGGAGGAAGAGGATGAAAGGGAAGAAGCATAGCAGACAGACTTCTAGGTCACCCCCAATGATATTCCCGCTTACTTCAAACCCTTGTACAATCTCCTCCCGTGGGGTGTGACAGAACCTAGGATTTGCTTCTAACCAACAATACAAGGCAAAGGTGATGGGATGTCACTCCCACAATCATGTTACATTGCAGAAGATTATAACTTGCTAGCCAAGTTGCTCTAGAAACTTTCTCCCTTGCTGGCATTGAAGAAATCAATCCAAGCAACCACACTGGGAGACCCACACGGCAAGGAACGGAGAGGGGCTTCTAAGAGCGAAGCCTTCCAGCCAACAGTCAGTGAGAAATCAGGACTCACCTCTTCTACCTGCAAGGAAATGAATCTGCCAACACCAAGTGAACCTGGCCCCCTCCCCAGTCAAGCCTCCACAAGAGGACTCAGCCTGGGCCAACATCTTGACTGCAGCCCTGCAGAGATACCAGCTAAGTCGGGCCTGCACTTCCCACACCCAGAAACCATGAGATAATACACACATGGCAATGTGTTACACAGCAGTAGACAACCAACACACGGCAGGAAGGAAGAAGGAGTGGAAGAAGGGGGAACCAGCGCAAGCCAGTCTTAAGAAATCAATCTTAGGGGGCGCCTGGGTGGCTCAGTCGTTAAGCATCTGCCTTCGGCTCAGGTCATGGTCCCAGGGTCCTGTGATCGAGCCCCGCATCGGGCTCCCTGCTTAGCGGGAGGCCTGCTTCTCCCTCTCCCACTCCCCCTGCTTGTGTTCCCTCTCTCGCTGTCTATCAAATAAATAATTTTTAAAAATTAAAAAAAAATCAATCTTAGGATAGCAGGGGAGCTTGTAACTGAGTGGCAGCATCAGTCCAAAAGTTCCCAGCTAAAGCCAGCTTGCCTGTGTTTTCAGGTATAATCTCCGCAGATGTGAGCGGAACTACGACTATTCTTTTATAGCCACTCTTCTCAGACTTGAAAGATAAACAACTTTCCCACAACAATGCACACCCAAGGGGCTTCTGTCCTTATGCCTTTTCCTTTGGCGTGAGGCAGCCACCGAAGCACAATCAGCCTAACGGCATCTAACTGACCTGCCTCCTCAGCCCGAGTTCTCAGGCAGGGCTGCGGGGGGCACTTCCGGTCAGCCTTGAGGCTCAAGGCAGAGCTGTGCCCACCTGCCTTCCCGGGATGAACCCGCTCTTCCTGGCACGCAGCCCCAGCTCCCTTCCCCTAGTATTAAAACCAGAACCAACCCTCTGCACAGCTTGATCCTTTGCCTTCTCAGACCCAATTAGAGTTGGCAGGACTAAACCAGTCTTGTGGTACCTTTTGTTTGTTTGTTTTTGGTAAATATTTCCAAAGTAATCCACAAAAAAAGTACCATCAGAGGGGTTGGGGGGCGGGAAGAACCAGAAATACAGGGGGCAAGAAAGGGGCAGAGAGCCCTCCTCAGACCACCAGGACCCCCTCCAGCCCTCCTTCTCTGAGCATCAAGCGGGTCATCGTAGCAGGAAAATCAAGCTGGTACCCACGCTTCCCCAAGCACGACACATTATCAAGTGAATTGTTCACACGTGCGACAGAAACACTGTATTCTTCTGGGAGATTTTGGTGTTCTGTGCCCCTTGTCCAGCTCATCCCCTTCCGAGTCTGCACTGTGAGTCCTCAATCCCCAACATAAAACCCGCTCTTACCCACAACCTGGATAATCTGAGCCAGGAGGACGCCGTCTGTCACATCTTGCTGGAGGTCCTTGATGAGACGTTTGTGGCCCGATTTGGCTAAATAGTGATTGGCCCAGTCCGTATAGATCTGCAAAAAAGCAAAGCGGCAACTTGAGGAACCTACTCAGACCCCGTCCCTGAGTCGGAGGCAGCTGCTGGGGCCTGCGTAGCAGCCACCGTCCCCGCCAGCGCGCCGTCCTGGGCCAGCCGCAGCCATTAACATGCAGAGCCTTGTGCGGAGGGGCCTTTCAGCTACCCAGAGTGGGGCTTTTGCCTATTGAGAGATCTGCCATGGAGGCGCGGGGAAAAGCTAAAGAAAGCTTCAAAGCATGCAAAGGCCTGAATGGGACGGGGACACAGAACTAAACAGTCTGCTCCAGACGGCTTTGAGAGGCGGTGGCTCTAAATGCAAGAGAAGCCTCCCCCTACCCCGCCGCCGCCACCCCACCCCTTCCCATCTTTTTTCTCTTTATTGAGAAAACGTATGGGGAGGTTACCACCCAACAGGCATCTTTTAATGGGCCATTTCAGGGTAAGGAGGGCTATTGAGTTAGCGAAGCTCTCAGGAGCCTGGGTCCCTTGTAAAGAAGCCAAGTACGCCAACACAGAGCCCTTCAATTACTCGTGTGTGAGTGGCGTTATTGACCACCTTGCAATCAGCTCAAATGTAATTGGTTTAATTTAAAAGCCTCATTTCCACTGTTGGGATTCTGTGACTAATAATAATTTTAAAAACCCAGCAAATTCCAACATATTTAAACACAGCATTGGTGCGCACAGCAGCCGAAAGGCAGGGGCTGGGTCACCCATGGGATCAGGAAAACAGACCCCCCCCTGCTCTTCTCTGTCCCCACAAGAGAATCTTTTCTTTCAAAACAGGCCTATAAGCACAAGAAAACTCACCTGAAAACATTCTCCCTAACTGAAATAAGCCAAATAACAAAAAAAATTAGAAACCTCACCAATTTTGAGTGCTAGGTTCCACGACAGATTTGCGAGTCTGTGGAGGGACATGCAGACCCCATATATCGGCACCTTTCTCCCCCCTACAGTGATATGAACAAGTGATGGCTCAAAGAGAATAGTCCACCTCGACTGGTCCATATATTAGTAGCGACAAGTTCATATACTAAGTCATATGAGGTCTCCAGCTGGTGTGCTCTGAGATCTTGTGTGTGACTCCCAGAGCAGTGGGAGCCCTACCCTCACCCCGGCTCTCCTCCACTCTGTGCTTCCAACAGGCCCAGAGTAATCTCACACAATGGGGCACTGCCCCTCGAGGCTCACAGAATGGGGACAGCAGGCCAGGGCCTGGACTCACAAAGTAGGACCCTTCTGGGACGCTGCACCCCTGGCTATGCCACCTGGGACGGTGAGAGCCCCCTCCCAAGATGGGGGAAGGTAGAGCTGCACTTCCTACTTCATCAAGAGCTGGGAACAGACTCCCATCTCCTCCCAGTCCCAACCTCGAATCTTGGTCTTCCACTGCAGAGACCCACAGCTGAAGAGGGACACCGCAGGATAGGGCTATTCCACACTGCGCTCCAAGGTATCTAATCCTTAAATCCATGTTACTTGCCTCCCTAGGATTCCCAAGCACAATCATTTTCAATTTTGTAAGCACTGAGAAAGCTAAGGAAGTGGGGCACCATTGGTCATTAAATGGCCAATCCTAAATGCTAAGGATCATTATATTAATGTTAAGAGGGAGAAAAAAAACATTAAAAGGAAAAAAGGCAGACCTGAGTTCAAGCCCCAGTTCTGCAGTTTCCATAGGGTAGGGATTTGGATCTGTTTTGAAGGTGCCCACAGCATTAGCATATTAGTTCTCGATATGTATCTGTGGGTGAATGGATGCAGGACTTCAGGCAAGCTATTTAACGTCACTGAGGCTAGTTTTTCTTATCTGTGAAATGGGATCAATACCATCTACTTGTCAGTTTTATGAGGACTGAGTGATAAGACATTTGAAAAAAGAGGGGGCACCTGGGTGGCTTAGTCAGTTGAGTGCCTGACCTGATTTCGGCTCAGTCATGATCTCAGGGTTGTGGGATTGAGCCCCAGGTCAGGCTCCGTGCTCAGTCTGCTTGTCCCTCTCCCTCTGCTCCTTTCCCCCCAAATAAATAAATAAAATGTTTAAAAAAAATGGAAAAAAAGGGCCTTAGGCAGAGTAGGAACTTAATAAATAACCAACATATACTGCCGCCTACATGCCCGACACTGGTATAAACATTTTGCACATATTCGTTTATTTAATCCACATTCCATGAGGTAGATATTATTATCTGTCTATTTTTTCAGAGGAGAAATTTTGAAATGTAGAGAGGTAAAGTAGTAACTTGTCCAAAGCCATAAGTAAGTGGCAGAGCCAGGATTTGAACCCATTTGGGCTCTAGAATCCCTTAAGACATTCTACCATGCTGCTTCTCTGAATACAAATACAAGTTATTCAAATCATTTCCCTCCTCCATGATACCCTCCAATGGACTCTAGGCTCATTCTTCTACTCAGTTATGTTCTCACTGACAGATTTTAAAAATAAATAAAAACCCCAAACCTAGTTCTATCCCTTGCTGTCTGAATGCCCTTGGGCAAGTTACTCAACTTTTGCGAGCTTCAATTTATTCAGCTGTAAAATGGGCATAAGGACTACTTCAGAAGGTGGTCGTGAAGACTCAGTGAAGCCCCTGGCCTGACCCACAATGGGGCTCAGGAAGTGGGGGCAGTGGAGTGGGATGGTAAAGAGGGGAGCTCTGGAATCAACATACTTGCTTTAAATCTTAGCTGCCACAATGCCAATTACCTCTGTACCCTTTGACCTGGCATCCTTGTTTATAAGATGGGGATAATACTACCTACATCATCAGACTATTATGAAGATGAAATGAGCTCATATATATAGAAGGACACAGAAGCAGCCACCATGCTTAGTCTTCCTGGAGCAGAGCTCTAATCCTATCACCTACTCAAAAAATCATCAACGGCACCACACTTCCCACTGAATTAAAGTCAGACTTTTTACACTGCTATTCAAGGCAGTCTGATCCACCCACTCTGCCCCAGACCCTGTCCAACCCTTGTGGGGAAGGCAGTATATGTGGAAGTTAAGAGGATGGGCTTTGGAAATGACCAAGTCAAGTTGGCCCTTGGCTCTGGGCAAGTGAATTTCTATGAACATTTCTGTATCTCAGTTTTACCTTCCATAAAATGGCGATTATACCAAATGTCTTAGAAAACAGCCTGGTAGTCCATGACCCAGGCCAAACCCAGCTGACCATATGTTTTTGTAAACAAAGCTCTATTGGAACACAGCCACATTCACTTGTCATCTTTAGCTGCTCTCCTGCCACAGTGGCATGGTTGAGTAGTTGTGACAGAGAGCTTTTGGCTCACAAAGCTTCAAGTACTTACCATCCAGCTCTTTGAGAAAAGATTGGCCAGTCTATTATAAGGACTGAATGAGATAATAGGCCTACCATGCCAAAGGCTCAGTAGTAATAATTATGATCACCTTCAGGAAAAACTCAACCTCACACTTGCCCATCTCTGAATTCATGCCACCGTGTCTGCCTGAGTACCTCCACCTGGGGTCACCCAGCAAGGCTCAGTTCCTAGGTCAGTCCCTCCAAGAAGTCACTCTGGATTTCCCAGCTGCATCCCGAGCTGCACATGATGCTGAGATTGTAGATAACGGTGAAAGTGGCACCACCTTCCCACCCTTCCCACCAGATGTGGGCAGAGACCAAGTCCCACCCATCTCTGCTGCTCAGTAGTACCTCCCAAGGTGGGGACACACGGCAGTTGGTAAGTATGTGGTTGCCAGGTTGAGCTGAACAGAGGGAAAGCGGGCAAACCTCTGGGAAACTGATTACAGTTGAGATAAATAAGAATGTAGGCTCTCAGCGAATCCTCAAACCAGTATCTCAAATCTCTTTATTGATTCAAAGAGGAAGGGACAGAGAAAATAAATCACTCCATGGCTCAAGCTCATTAATCAGGACCCATCCAACAAGAATGGGACCCATCCAACAATTAATTATCTGGAGTTTCCCCCCGTCACCCCCCCCCCCCAGCTCTCAACTTTTTAATGAAGTCACAAGAAAACACATTTATTGTAAGAATCCGTTTTCAGGGGCCATGCTAAGCCTGGACATAAGTCAGCCTCATCTCTCTCACTTACTCCTTCAGTAGCTCATGCAATAAGTGCCATTCTTTCAAGGGGTACCCTTGGAAAATCAACTCACAATATCTGCAGTCAAAGGCTCCATCGTATTTGGCAACTCGCAAAAATGCCGCAGTGAGTGTTTCAAAGATACCAAGCAAGGGCTAAAGCATGCAGAGCTTCCTGTCCAAGCTTCGGGGTCCCAGAATCAACTGCTCTTCCAGAGCCTCATGGTCCCCACAGTTCTAGACTCTGGGGTCTGTTGATCCTCCTACCCTGGAGCCCACTGATCCTTGTTCTGTGAACTTCTAGTAGCAACGGACAAGAACAAGAACCCCATAGGAGGAAAGAATACAAGCACCGTTCCCACCTCCAGCTCCAACCCCGACCATTCCAGAGCAAAGTTCTAGAACAACTTCCCACGAGTGTGTGAGGTTTCCTTCATCTATCGGATTCCTTCATCTATCTGCCTCACTCCCCACCCCCTCTAACAGGGGAATCAGTGCTCCAGGAGCCCTCGGTGAGGGAGAGAAGCTGCTGTCAAAGGCGTGAAGAGATAAAAGGGGGAAGGAAGGCGACGACAGCTGAGGAGTGAATTCGGTTTGATTTACTTATTACCCCTGACAGAATTTCAAGGACTGCGTCATTTGTTTGCTTATAACTGCACATCATTCCGTATCACAGAGGCTGCAATCAAAGAGGGAAAATTTTGACAGATCAATTGAAGTAAGAAACCTGATTATTAGTTGTAACAAGAAAACCGATAATAATTGCACTCTGCTAAATCAACGGGGAGAAGAATGTTGCTAAATTTACACTGCAATTAACCCTCAAGGAAGGGGTGGGGGTAGCATTCTAAAAAACCCAAGAACAATTTCACAAAGCGACTGCGCCGGAAGTTGGTGCCATTCACAACTCGGCCATAA